TATATATATATATATATATATATAGTACAGTATAGTGTAGTATATAAATGTAAAGTACAGACAACAATATACTACAGTAAAATGCAATTAAAATAAACATAGTGTCATAAAACAATAAAATCAAGATACCTTATAAAACAAGGTAAAATACTAAAAACAAGAACATATTTGCTTTGATCTTTCTAATCACCTTATCAACTGTTTAAAATACCTTAAAGAAATCAAAATCAGTAGGTTCAGATATTTTTGCAAGGTATTCCAGATTACAGGAGCTGACTAAGAAAAGGACTTTTTGTCGGGTTCAGTCCGCATTGAGGGGACGCTGTAGAATGATGGTCTGAGAGAGCACGCTGGAACTGCACTGATGACATGTCATGTGGGAGGAGATATAAGAAGGAAGCAGACCAAGGAGGGATTTTTATATGAAGATGTACCAGTGTCAGAGCATACGTGTAGATAATGATGACCAACTGACCAGTGAGTGCAGGGTGCAGTGATGGGTACGGTAGTTCCAACCAGTTATGAATCTTAGCGCACCATGGTACACAGCATCCAACATTTGCACGGAGCTGGCAGGAGCAATCATGCAAATAATGTCCGTAATTGACTTTTGTATGTACAGTATGTGAATGTTTTTGTACAGTTCCTTGAGACAACTTTGTTGTGATTTGGCGCTATATAAATACACTGAAATGAACTGAATTAATCAAGCTCTGGTTGTATTTTAGTATACAAATTTGATCCTTTGTAAAATTGCTCAAATTCAACAATGGTCTATTGTTTTTACATTCCAACACATCATTTTGAGTGACAAAATGAATATTTCTCATCTGATATTTCCCACCAAGTGCCATTGCATCAAGTTATTCAGGTCAACATGTCAGCTGTAATTAATCATAAATGTATGGCAGGTCATTGTATGTAAAGTTTGTCTCATTTGAGTTGAAAATGCAGCTATCTGTAGAAAAAAAACACAAAGTAAATCATAATTTAACTTCAAAGAAAACTCATGAATATAAATCTTGTTTGGAATATTTAATGAGATTCAACAAAAAAAATATGTATTGAATTTGAATTACAATACCCATCTTTAATTTTGTTGGGACCTGCTTATTGTAAAGCATAGGAAGAAGTAGCTATGTTTTTAATGGTAGGTCCTGTTGTTATTCACCTCCAAAAAGTGCTCAGCTTTATTTTTCTTCTGCTGCCAGCTTTAATGTGGACTGTACAAAAGAGTGCACCCACACAAATTATACATCAAAACAAGTGGCTCAGCCACAAGATATGGGTTAATATTTTTGGTCATATTTGGAGTGACCTTAGCAACATCATTTACAGGAAGAGACATCCAAAAATAGTAAAACTAAAAGTAAATGAGCAAAACTCTCAGCCAGCAGAGTGACAGGTGACATGATCTGGAACGTAAAGGTCTATAACCAAATCATTGAAAGTTGGCAAACAAATTTTCTCTGTCTTGGAATCTGTGTCAGTGTTTTAACTAAAGAACTTCAGTAGTTTATACCTTCCAAACAAAGGGGCTTAAATGCATCTTACTTTATTCATGCATGTCCACTGCCCTCGTCTCTTGTTTACTTGTAAACATCAGAACATTCACTGGTGAGATGAAGACTCATGTTCTGAAGATGCATGCTCATAATGTCAGAGGGCACAGACATCAAAGTGGAACATGGTCTTGTTATGCAAAGCTTATTCAAATAGCCACATCAAGAAACACTTTTTTTTTCTTTCAATTTTATAAACAGCTTAAGGACAATAAACAGTTAATCACTAAATGAGGTCCAACAAACATAAAGAAGAAAAAGAATTACCACAACTAACATTTACATTATTAAAAAATTGACCAAAAGGAATTTAACAACTACAACTATTTTATCATTTTCAAAATCACAACAGCTTGTAAACTTAGAAGAAAAAAAACAAAACAACAACTTTAATCCATTTTTTTTTTCTTCGATGAAGGGCGGTTAAATGAACTGGTAACAGTTCGTTGGAGCTACAGTTTTGATTTTATTGAAAAGAAAAAGGAAGGTCCAGCAGCCCCTTACAAAGTTCGATAGTTCTTAAACAGCAAGCGCTCTCTCCAGTTTTACAGTTTAGTCTCTCTGAATGGATAACAGCATTAACCATCAGATTTTATGTTACTGTCTGTCCTTCTCAGGTTCCAAAACTCTGACTTTTGAGTCATTTTCACTTGGAGTGAGGAGGAAAAGGCTGGAAAGCAACATGTGCAGGTGATGGGTCTCCGCTTCCTTCCTTTCAGGTGGTTTAGAGATTCACCTGTGGGTGTAATTAAGCACAGGGTGGGGGTAGTGACTTAGGGAGATGCCATCTCACAGTATTTGACAGTCATTCAGCTCGTGGCAGAGACGTTGTGCTACTCTCACACACATTTCCATTGATGTCTTGCATAAAACATGCTGATGGGAAGAAAAAGAGCTGTGAGCTGAAGGAGAGAAGAGGAAGAGGAGGCCCAAAACAGGAGCCAGAGAAAGTTTGTGTGTGAAGGGGTAATTGGGAAATGAATATGGCAAAGTAGAGAGAGTGGTGTGAAATTCTCTTGGCCAATTTTCCATTTTTCTCAGACAAAGTTTTCTTGTGGATGAGACGTTGGATTTTCTCACAGTTAATTTGAGTGAAGTGAAAAAAAGGGTGTGTTTTGTCTTTAGAGCAGCATCAGATTGTCAGAGCAGTATGGACATGAAAGCATCCAGTCATCTGCATAGGAAAGTCTCCCCACAAAAAAATTCTGCATTTGTTTTGATCTTAGTTTTGATGAAAACATTTGGACAAAAAAACCCCAAAAACACTGAAAGCCAGAGGGAGTGTCCATCCAGTCCTCCGTTTGCTTCACAAATATATTCTCTGGGCAACTAGCCAATCTGAGAAACACACATCACTGTGTAATATTTACAGGATTTGCTCCAAAGCTGTTCAACTTTAACCATATCTCCAGGATTCTTCCTCTGGAGCGACAGCTGGGGAATGGTGGCCTGTCTTTTCTTGTCATGTAGTCCTGGGGTTTGGAAGATCGAAGACGATAGGTGGGTTCATGGGCAGGAAGTTGACAGTGCAGGTCGAGGCGTTGACGAAAGTCGTGGTGCCATCTGTCATCATGCCATAGCCTAGGAGGTCAAAGAAAACAGGAAATGAATTTAGGAATACAAATATTTTTCCATCTACCTGCTTACAGATTCAAGGGACCTTTTATTAAGAAAACCCACGAATGTCACTGAAATAACATAAAACTGACAAGTTATATTGAGAAAAAAGAACTGGAAACCAACTGATGAAAATGAGTCATTGCTTTTCATATTTTGTATTAAATAAATTTTATTTATTTATTAATCATAATTTAACCAGGCAAATCCAAGTGAGATCACAGATCTCTTTTGCAAGGGTGGTCTGGGCCTGAAGGCAGACTAACATGCATGTTTTTTTTCTGTGGGAGGAAACCGGAGTGCCTGGAGAAAACCCACGCATGCACGAGTAGAACATGTAAACTCCACACAGAAAGACCCCAGGTCCAAGTGGGGAATGAACCCAGGAACTTCTTGCTGTGAGGAAAAATGTGCTAACCACTGAGCCATCGTGCTGCCAAATGTTTTAAACTAATTAAACTGTCCTTAACTAAATGAATGGTACCCTTAGAAAGATAAAATTATTTTGACCACAGGTACCAAACCAAGGTGTGGCTTGCAATCAGCATTATAACTTTCTTCAGTCTTACAGATAGACAGATAGACAGATGCTTTATTAATCCCAGAGGCATCCATTATCACTTTTTACTTATATCACTA